CGATTCATATGCTTGGCACTAAATACTTAAAAATAGTGGTTAACCTCAACAAAAAGTAAAGAATGAGTCTTACTCTTTCTGAAGATTACAATGAGGATTTACAACGTCTAGAGGCTAAATAATACTAAACTGTACCTGGAGGAGTATAGCGAACAGTTCCCCTTATTCCAATTGTGCTACTTTGATTGTGAGAGATACCATTCGTAGTCCAGATAAGCTTTGCTAATCCAAAGTCACTCACATGAGCAACCATGTCATTATCAAGAAGGACATTGCTTGGCTTCAAATCACAGTGAATAACTTGCTGCTCATTTTCATCATGAAAATAGTCCAGTGCAGAACCAACATCAATGACAATATTTAGTCTTTGATGAAGGTCTAATGTTCTTGACTGATCTTCACTTTCAAACTCTGGATACAACCATTTATCCAAGCTTCCTTTTCCATGTAGTCAAAAACTAGAGCTTTAAATTCATTGCCTTTGAAGTCCATACTGGAGCAACATGTTAAAATCTTAACCAGATTTCTGTGTCTAACATTTCTGAGTGCCTTACATTCCGCAATGAAACTCTTGTGAGCTCCCTTCTTTTGAAGATTCAGTACCTTTATAGCAGTAACGCTGCCTTCTGACTCAAAATTTCCTTTGTATACGAAGCCAAATGCACCAGATCCTATCAAGTTATCTGAAGAGAAACCACCAGTTGGCTTGTTAGTGTCTGATATGAGACCTTGGAAAGTTGGTTTCCATCAACTGTGAGTGAAGGAGAAGAATTTCTTTGGCTTATTTTTCTTTTCCTGTACATAGCACCAAAGGATAATAACAGAAGGAGAAATAAAACCACAGAAATTACTATTAATATTATGTTCCAAGCATGAAATTTATGTTTCATAACAACTTTTTCAGGGCATGGTGGTAGATGTAGTGTTCTGATACCCCCACAGAGTTCATTGTTTCCTTCCAATGATATCGAACTGGCATTTCGAAAGATACCTCCAGTTGAAACTTCACCATCCAACATACTGAAAGAAACATTCAAATACAACAAAAAAGTAATATCCTCCAGACCTTTTGGAAATTGATCCAGACAACTTGTTTTCTGAGAGATCTAAATATTGGAGGCCTCTCAATGAGGTCAGAGATGAAGGTATGGTTCCTTAGAAAGAATTCCCTTGTAAGTTAAGGTATTCAAAGAATATGCAATGGCCAATCGTTCCTGGAATTTCACCAGACAAAGCATTTCTTGAAACATCCAACTTACTGATGTATTTAAGGTTGCCAACGTCATTGGGTAGGCTTCCACTGAATGACTTATGAGTTCAGTAACAATGATAAGTAGGGAAGTTCAAATACCTCTGAAGGAATAGTTCCACTAAGGTTGTTATCTGAAAGGTCCAGGTACTGTAAACTTTCGCAATGTCCAATACTAGGAGGAATCCCTCCTTCTAGCAAATGATGTGACAAGTTGAGTTGAAACAGTGATAAGCAGGGAAGTTCAAATACCTCTGAAGGAATAGTTCCTCCAAGGTTGTTATCTGAAAGGTCCAGGTACTGTAAACTTTCGCAATGTCCAATACTAGCAGGAATCCCTCCTTCTAGCAAATTATGTGACAAGTTGAGTTGAAACAATGATAAGTAGGGAAGTTCAAATACCCCTGAAGGAATAGTTCCACCAAGGCTGTTATCTGAAAGGTCCAGGTACTGTAAACTTTCGCAATGTCAATCCCTCCTTCTAGCAAGTTACGTGACAAGTTGAGTTGAAACAACTGACTAAGATTGCCTAAGGAAAGAGGGATCTCTCCTGACAATTTGTTCGCATTCAAAGTCAATGACTGGATCTTCCGAAACATCCCAAAAGGAGCTGGAATGGACCCTTGGAGACGGTTGAACTCCAAGTCCAAGGCAATCAAGTTAATGAGATTTTCTAATCCTTCAGGTATAGAGCCAGAAATTTGATTGCCACCTATATAGAATTGATTTAATTGACTTGACAAATTGGCTACAGAGTTGGGTAAAGAACCTCCAAAGTTGTTCAAGTTTAAATCCAGCAACTACAATTTGGTGCAGTTTGTCAAAGATGTCAAGAAATCCAAGTCATTATCTGAACCGTTTCCGAGAAAATTGTGCTCCACAGCCAGAGACCACAGATCTTCAAGGTTTCCAATACCAGTTGGAACGTGTCCTACGAACTTGTTCCTAGGAATGTTAAATAACAGCGTGTTGGTTGCATTTGAAATAGAATTTGGCATAGTGCCTGCGAATTTGTTCATACCAATGCCAAATTGTTGGAGATTTGGGAGGGTGATGAACATGTTGGGTGGTAAAAAGCCATTGATCTGGTTGGCTCCAGCTGAGAAAAAAGTCAGAGATGACATATTGTATAGTGAAGAAGGAAGCATACCAGACAACTTGTTTGATGCAATAGATATACGGGTCAAGTTCTTCAAGAGGCCTATCTCTTCTGGCACACTTCCCTCCAAGTTATTAACTCCCAGAGAAAGAATACTTAGGGAAGAAATGTTTCCTATGGAAGGTGGGATCTCACCTGTCAGACTGTTCATACCAATATATAACTGTTCCAAATTTGTCAGAAAGCCAAGCTCCGGAGGTATTTTTCCAACTAGCTTGTTTCACATCAAACTCAACGTCCTCAGTTCAGAACACTGAGACAAGTTGGTTGGAATTTGTCCCCTTAAGGTGTTATTTGTCAGATATAGTTGCTGCAGCCGATACAAACGACCTATTTCTTGTGGGATTTGACCATAGAAGCTGTTGTCTGAAGGTTGATGTACCTTAAAAACGTAAGGTTGCCAAATTCAGATGGTATGAACCCAACCAAGTTATAACCTTCGAGGTTCAAGGAAGTGACTCTTTAATGTCTGAGGCTGCATGTGATTCCTTGCCATCTGCAAAAGTGACTAGACCTATTCCAGGAGCTCAGGACATTATATGGGTCACTTTCTATAGCTGCTTTAAACTTGAACAAAGTCAACTGGTCTGTGACATTTTCTAATGCTCTAGCAGTGATCTTAGGCTGGAGCTATAGTAGGTTGGCTGAAAAGAGAAGAACCACATGAAGGCATATGGACCAGAATGCACATAAGTAAGAAGGAGAAGAAGAAGAAGAAGAAGAAGGAAGCTTCATTATGTGTGAATGATATCAGGTGACAATACTGAGATGTTCAACGCTGCTATTGAAACCAAGGCTTTGTAGTTGATTTATATGGAGTATTAGTCATATTATCGCTATTCGATGGGCCTCCGCGAAACTTATGATGATGGTTAACATTCACGCCTTTGTCTTGAAGTTTCAAAAATATTAGAGTGATCACATGCAAATGCATTAACAGTGGGATTTTCGAATAAACAAATTGAAATGAAGCTGTTGACTTTTGAAACAATACCATTGCCAACATTATCTCGAATGAACTTGGTAGGGTTTAAAGTTGGCTACAGTTCATGCCTCGCCTACTTTTAAAATTCTCATAAGTCCTCATTATTCTATGGTTCCAAGAAAACATATATATAAATATTTATATTTATAGTTCAGTCAAGCAAAATGATAAGGTCTTCAGATTTTTAAAAGGCAGTTCACACCTAAGCTCCCTCTTAAATCTATAACTGTCATTGCATGACTACGTTGTCTTATTTTTTGCAGGATAATCGTAGAATATCTGGAAAACAATTCCAACTTCATTTTTTCTAGTATACTCTCTGTCCTATGAAGAAAGTGCTTGCATCAGTATTTTTGTTATTATTTTTTCCAATGCCAAGGAAGCAAACTTGAATACTGCATTATTGCCCAGAGCAATTAGTGGAGGGCATTACTCTCCAATAGTGTAAGCCGACTACTTATTAATCATAAAATAAACATATTCATGTTAAAGATGGTTTTTTATAAAACTTGACATGCGTAGATATAACAGTTTAAATTAATTTGGTGGATTGAAAACTTTCGGAGATTTGGATCGAGTTTTGGATTTTGCCCTTTTTTGGAGTGATAATAAAAGAGGGGAGGGGATAATGAGACTATTGCATATTTATTTACTTCACAAAAGATTCAATTATTATAGGAAGATTCCTCCACCGATTGAGGTGCCAAATGGAAAACTAAACTCATACAGACAGACACCTTTTCTTTTCATTTGGTTTAGTAATTTAGGTTTGAATGATGCATTTTTTTTAATTTGTTTTCATTGAACAATTAGTAACTTGTAATTATAATTAGGGGATGGGAAATAAATACATGATCTTTCATGTCCTAGCAAATAAATAACTTAAATGTAATTTTTGCATCTAAAAAGGGTACTCGATGACAATATTGAGCTCGGGTAGGGCCCAATCCGATAACTTAGGACAGAAAATTTAAGTACTAGGCTTAGCTTATATACTTTAACGCATTCGTTTGAAATCAAATCAAAATAAATAGACTTTTTACCTATTCTTGACTTCTAATTAATTCTTATTATATACTCTTAACACATTTCGATCAAATCAAAACTTTTATTCCTTCATTTAGTGTTTTCTTCATCACATTTGCTTAAAAATATTCAACACAGTCAATTGGAAAAGGAATAGTTGAGGGAATCAATATAGGGCCAGCCAAACATTGGATTTTTACCACACTGCAGCTTTTCCATTTCCCATACAATTGTATCAGCATCCTGATGCTAATGTTACAGCAACAAATTTAAATCTGAATATTATAGATAACAGTATCACACCCACCCACTTATTTGTTTGTTACTGCTGCTTTGCAGCAGAAACCGGATTCCATTTGATTGCATTTCCCTGAAAATAAGCATTTATAGCTCTGCTCATAGATTTCACGCATTTACGTGATTGCTGACACTACTCTGCCACTCTGGAATTCCAGTCCCACCCACTGACCCACCCCACCAATATGCTCCTTTGACTCATTCTCTTTTATTTTTTATTTTTATTTTTTTTTGTTCTTTTCCTCCCCAATTCCTGAAACAACCACGATTATTCACTGTTCTCATGCAGATTCAACCTAACATCAACTCATCAACAATCAAAAGAAGTTGGAAGACTCTTCTTCCACATTAACACAAGTATCCGCAACATGTTAAAAAATGATACAACTTGAAGAACTTTCCTGAAACATATTTACAATATTTCCTCAGACCAAAAGAAAGAAAGAAAGAACAGAGACAGGGAACTCTGACTTTCACCTAGTCAAGTTGGCAGAGCCAGAGAGCAGTTCAGATTATTTAGTGAATAGTCATTGGCATAATGACGATACCCGCGGATATGACTTGAACTGTATATAGTCTAGCCAGGGTGGGTAGAAAATTTAGCAACTCTCCCAAGAGCTCTTGATAGTGCACGGGGAAGGAGATGCTGAATAAAACCTGCCCATTTCACTTCAGTTCTAGGCTGGTATTGAATCAGCAATGCAGATGTCCCCCCGGCATAGTGGGCATACCCTGCAGATTAGTTAAAGATGGTAAGCAGGGCTCTGCTCATCTATGTTTCTATTAATTGCCATTTGCCAAGATTCAAGACAATATGTTTACAGAAAACCCAGAACATTAGGCTTATGAGGAAAGCATTCGTTTGTATCTTCATGAATTTCCTGCCCTCCTCCCAAAGATCTTTGTTTTGACAGTAATAGCATGGACGTAAGTGTCAACATAATACATGGTAGCAAAAGTAGCTTAAGATTCCAGCAAAAGAGTAGCCTAAACAGGGATTGAACTGACAAATTTGATAATCCTAAGAAGACCCAGAAATTTTGCCAACATCCAATGTTTATCAGCCAATATTTTATAGCAAATATATCTATTTACCAGCATTACATTCCACTGTTACAGTAGCTCCTATTCAATAAGCTGAATTCATTCATCTATGTTCATTACTCTCCTATGCCACCTACTAGATAAATTTCCAAGTCCTTGACATGCATAATAGACTGGGAGCCTTTAGCCACACAATATTAAGAGACAAGACCAAATTTCTCATACCTGTGAATCTCCTTTAGCCACTTGTCTATGCATGTTAGATGAAATTCATGGTGACATGGTAGTACTCGCATGCTGTCTCCATCCTCATACTCCACAAGGCATATATAGCATCTGTGAAAAGAGAAGTTAACAAAGAAAAAGTTTTATTTGGCATGTTACACGTTGGAGAGAAAAAGGCAAATGTAATGTCAATATGAAAGAAAAGGGCAGAGATAACAGGAACAAGAAAACAAAGATTAAGAGCATTCGATAAACCAAACACAGTTTTGGTCGTGGACTTGTGTGTAAGCCCCAATACTTACTGAGCAGCATCCTCTTGATGCTTATGCAACTTAGTGTATGATTTGACAGGCAAGGACTCAACAACTTCATAAGGTGCAGGAACAGATCCAATAGAAGAAACAGAAGGGCGTGAAGATAAAACCACTGATTGCTGGTGAATTTCATCCAGAACCTAATTAAGATATATACAAAAGATTCAACTTGAGTAAATAGATAATAATATCCATCAGAATAGCTAAGAGCAAATTAAAACTACCTCAAATAAGGCTTCAGCAAGCATAACAATTCTTGATATGCTAGCTCTAGCACCAGTATCATCATTTGAATTGGTGTCACGACTACTAATTCGGCATGTACAACGACCATTTCTATGTTGGCCAGACAAAATACATGACCTGTCATGCCCAGACAGGTTTTCAAATCGGCTTCCCAGTCGTTGAAGAGCACGGACCTAAACCATTATATATATGGATCAGACATAGTTTAGTCTGTAGTATGGAGGGAAGAGAATGGGCTCATGAAAAATGTTCCTACAGAAGTATCCTGAGTCATTAAGGTTCAATTTATTCACTACTTTAAGTTGCTCAAGTTTAATTACATCAATAACAACCTCAACACCTCCCTGAGCGGGTGCACTACATTGTTTGGCTTAAATGCATCATATCTAGTTCATGGTTTCTGCTTTTCTTTCCTTTCTTTTTCATTTGGCTAAAAGTTTGTTCTTTTCACAAAGTGGCGATATGAAATTATCAGCCATTGCAGTAAAAAAATAAAAAGAGAAAACCCACAAACCTGGGATCGTATTCTTCTTCTCCGTTCTAGGAAATTGGATCTATTTTCCAGTAGATCACGATGCCTAGCTTCTCTTGATCGTGAAGACTCAACCTCATAGTCTTGGGTGCCAAACAGGGAACTAGACATATTGGATGAAGGATAACCAGATATAGAAGAGGAACTTGTAGAGTCACCATCAGATGGTAGTCCTCTTGGCTCTCTCCCCACTGCTTGTCTTCCAATATCTTGACTAGCATCGCTTGCATCCCTCTCTTGCTGCAGTGGGCAAAAGGTGAAGTCTGATATTGTTGATCGACGAAGAACTCTATCACGAAGCCTTCCAACACTCAAAGTACGACTAAAGCGAACATTCCGCTCAACAGGTTCTTGAGCTCCATTTCGGCGGTCATTATGTCTAATCTCAACATTTTCTGTTCTGGCATGAATTCTTGGAGAAAACAAGTTAAGATTTAGCCCTTCTCTAGGACCATCTTCATCTCTAATCATATTCTGCATGGAAGAACTCATTGGGTTGTTTTGCAAGTTGCCATTGGAATCTGATGAAGGGATGTTAGACCTTAAATTGATAGAAGTGTCTTCATAGCAATGTGATGCAGGAATCAAATCACCACGTTGTAGAGCTTCATTTTGATTAGCCAAGCTTCCAGTAGGTCCAGGCTGCGGATTAAGGACATCTCCATCGTTAAATATTGAGAGACCTGCAGAAGAAACAGGGCAAGGTTGTGATGACCCCAAACTTGTGGTTCTGCTTAGTCTGAAGCTTATGTTCCCAGGAATAAGGCTAAATCGAGAAAGGAATCGGCTTGAAGGGTTCAAAGACTGAGTTGGAGCTGGACGATCAGAACTACTACCAGTTCTAGATGCAGTGTTGGAAATGGTTGTTTGACTCCACTCATCATGGTGGACATTAGGAGGGATACCTGGTTTTTTATCAGATTTAATCTTTCTGAATGACTCTGATATCAGCTCATCAGCATCTGTTTCATCACCATTGGTGTACGTAACATTACTATCATTATCTTTATTCTCATCACACACCTAAAGCATGAATACCAAAGTATAGTTAGTGCCACAATCCATAAAACATTGGCCAACAGTCAAAGCAGTTGTTTAGACATGATTATACTGATCTTTGAGCTGACCAAGCTGTCTCTGGAAATCAATATAGGGGATAAGATATCCAGGGGGGTATTACATTACACTTCATAACAAAAGTTCATTAATTGATTTCCATTATTCCATTAAGAATCAATTTATTAATTCACTTGTCTCCCTTCAGAAAATTGCAAGGTAAGAAACATAGCCATCTTAAAAACAAAAAGATGGAGAAAGCAAGTTACAAACTCGAACAAGAAAAGTCCGTTTCCTTGTCCAGATATGTTAGAATAGCTACCTACTTTTCGTGTTTAAAAGTTCCCAAGCAATGAGATTGAATTTGAGGGTATGTTTGGTTTGAGGGGAGGAGAGGGATTTTGCTCCCCTTCCCTTGTTAGGGTTGTAAAACGACTCCCCTCCCCTCCAAAATGGGATATAATTTTGTCCTGCTAGGACTATTATACCCCTATTATGATTTGATAATCCAAAAATGTCCCTTCCTCTTTGCTCCTTCCACGTTGCACCACCATTATAGCTCCCTCCGTTCGGGTCATCATCCGTGTTGGAGATCAGATTTTTTTGCTAAGGTTCGCTCCTTTCATTTTTTTTGTTGTTGCTATTTTTCTATTATATGTTAATAAATTTACTGCTTGCTCATACTTTTGTTTTATAAACTATGAATAAATTATTAGTGAATGTATTATTGGCAATATATGTATATATATGAACTATGGAAAATTATATACTTATAATTACATATTAAAAACATTAATAACTATATTTTATAAAGAAAAAAAATTACTAAGATAAAGGTAAAATTGTCTATATATATTTATTTTCACTCCCCTTCCCTTGAACCAAATAGATCCTCTTTCAATATAAAAACGTTACTAATAGAAGTTGTAATTAGGGAGAATTACAATCGAGTCTATTGACAATTAAATTAAACTGCATTGACTATAGTTCATTTGTTAATGGATCTTGTAGTAATTAATTTTTCTATATAGGACTTCAATGTAATTCTCCCTTGTAATTATCGGCTGGCAAGAAGTGATATACCCTAGAGGATGATTTTTATCTCATTATATGGCATAAAGAATGCAGCGCTTAAAGAGCACTGAACACTAATATATCTGAGTAGTACCAGGCAACTTGAGGAGATAATATAGACACAACCATCACTTGTAGATAATGGTGAAAAATGTCCAACACACCAGAAGAAATAAACATAAAGAGCCATATTACTTGAAATTTTTTAATTTGAATTTTGATTGTCTCAAAATTGATTAATCTGGCAGTCAACGTAACAAGAGAACACAAAATTTAAAACCTCTTAGTCTTAGTGGCAAATTCCGTTTTAAAATCTAGTTATCTCAATCACCCCCAAAATATACTAGCTCAAAAGAGGGAGAAATTCCTGCACTCCAAATGAAAAACCAAACCAGCACATGACAAAAAATGCTTCAACATAGCAATCATGATTTAAGCATAAAATTAGAAGGGAAAATGAAAACGGGAAAAACAGAGATTACAAAGATTGAGGAATAACAGAGTGAGATACCTGGTCGTCATTGTCACTGTCATGAGATCTAGATGTTGTTCCTAAACAATACGACTGAAAACCTCTATGCCCTCTAGATCGACCCTTACGAAAGCTGCGTGAAGACGACGACGTGGACGATGAATTGCAAGAAGTAACGGCTTTGCTACCACTGGATCCCATCTACCGAACAAACAAACAATGCACCCGGAAGTCTAAAACATCAGAATCCAGAAATTAAAATGCGTCCATTTCGAGATCCCAAATGTTTCCGATCTATAAAGATGGAAAATCAAAGGTCTAAAACCACTAGGTGTTGCAGTGTTGGAAGAATTAATGAAATGTAGTGATTATCCGTGAAATGGGTCCAAGCAAGAAAAGCTTGGAGGTGGAGAGTGAGGGGGAGAGAAGAGAAGAAGGTAAAGGTCTGGAATTTAGGTGGAGATGGCAGTAGCTGGGTGAATGGGACAAAGTAACTGGAAGGAGGAGAGAGGGAAAGCTTTATTTCTAAGGAAGTGTGAATTACTTACCGAGAAGACAATGAACAATGGCGTTTTCTCTGCCTGGATTCGGGGGATTCAAATTATTTTTGCTCTTGCAGTGCATACCCTCACGACACTGCCACTCGTTTGAAAATTGAGAAAAACCATTCAACGCTTAATTAAAAAATTACAGAACCAACCAAGTCTGTGACACAGATGGTAGGTTATCTTGGTCCACATGCGACCAGGTTTGATATCTGTTGGGGGAGGTCCCTTTCAATAATGTCTCGTTACCAATTAGTTTCTGGCACTTATCCCAAACAAATCCCCAAAAAAAAAAAAATTAATTTCATATTTTTTTTGTCTAATTATCGAGCCATGTAGAATCATCAACAGACCATGCCCGTTCCTCTCGTATATATTAGTTGTCTTTTTTTTCCCACAAAATCATCTCAATTCACAGCTTCTCAGTATTTTTCTTCTCAAAATCCATGCTTTTAAATAAGAGTGAACGTGTAGAGTCATTCTATTTATACTCAATTTTAATGATTTAATTATCTCTGTAAAATAGTTTTAAAAAAAAGTGTCTGGGAAGGGAAGAGTAATTTGGAATTGAGTTTGTGATGGGTCAATTAGTTCAAGCCACATCTATAATTTGAATCTCCAACTACTATTTGATATGAGACGGCAGGTCCATTTATGGGCCCAATCATCAATGGGTGGGCATTTACTGTTACACTAGAAAGAAGCGGAATATTTACCACACAAGAATAAAGAAAAGAGAGGGATATATCGAAAAAAAAGTGCCCAAGCTTTTTTGTAAATTTGCTCCCAAAAAAAAAAAAACTAAACGACTACCTATTGAAAGCCAGAAGAAATCTGCAATCTTTTTAACTAGTAACGGAAACCTAAGCAATTGAGGATCCTAGTTCTTGGACTATATACCATTTCAGCATTCCTTTCGTACAATTGTTTAAATACAACTAAACATTCCCTGGAAGCTATATATGGATTTCGCATATGAAACTAAGATTCAAAGTGTTTTGTAGTAGTTCTGTGATATCAAGCACGCTGCAATCATGTGTAATTGTAACGGTAAAAAATCTCTGCCCCATTTCAAATTAAATGTCTGAAAAATTTTGCAAAGGAAAAAAGCACATAAAGAAAAGCTAGGACTAGGCGCAACCCAACCGGCCACGTTTGGTGTTCAAAACATGGACATCTTTGTAGCCAGATTGTCCCTATCATTGCATCAAACGTCGACGTCTTTGAGGGTTCAAAGCACGTCAAAGTGTATGGATTAGCGTGTAGTGTTCTTTTTTTAATGACTTCAAGATCTCTTCACTTCTTTTTGTGTGGATAGGAGCGGGGGAATTACTTGGGGATACCGCCATAATCAGATATTCAGATTTAAGATTTAAAGTTCAGAGGAGCTTGTCGAATGATTGCCCAACTTTTTGTTCTCAGGATTCAATTTTTAAATTCTCTTAACATCTCTTCTCTGTTTTCCCTGTGAAGCGTGCTATTAAGGGCCACATGAATGTTGGATACAACAATAATGGCTCTGTTCTTTTATGATCTTTACAGTATGCTAGTTGTAGAGACGTTTGATACGCCGCTAATATCATATCATCCATCATAAGACAGACAAGTGATGTTCCATTGAGAGTTAAAAATAAGTGTGATGTGAAATCCTCACAGTTTTCGCGTCGTTCAAAATGGTGTTATCTCAGGGTTTGGAAGACACTTTAATGAGGGACCAAACATTTACTTTAATGTAAAATCACGCCTGTTAGAAAACCTACAGCTACAGGGACTGTCTACTTCCACAGGGAGGATGATTGTTTAGGCTCATTTTGTTACCCTCTAAGTGCGGTTGTAGAATCTTCTCAACCATAACATTCTATTTCTATTATGACAATTGTTATCTTGCAAAATACTCCCACCGTATTTAATTATAAAATAATTCAACATAATGTTGTACATATTAATAAAACTCTAATAATACTTTACAAACTTATTTTTTCAATACAAAAGAATCAACTTCCAAAAATACACTTCATTTAACATAATTTTAATTCTACAATCATTTTAATTCTCTCTCTACAAAAGTAGGTAATATCGAAAAAGCATAATTAATAAAATACTATTTTTGTCAAATTATTTTATATTTTAAAATAATAAAATACCTCAAATATTGTTCTATAATTCACGACGAAAGGCAGTATACATCCACTTGACAATGTACTATGGCCAAGATGGCAAGGTATTGAAAGTTCGTCATTCTAGTAACATCAGTAATGGACTCGTTTTCCAGCTTCCAAGGAAAATGAAGAAATAAAAATTTCATAGAGCACACAATGACATTTGAGTATGATCCTAATCTAACTTGTTGCACTAATTTTCAGGACGATTATGACTTGACAGATAAAAAGGTTGCACGATAATTATAAAAAAGCCTCTTGGTACATGCTACATATCTGCAGGTGGACCCTTCTAAAGATTTTTACGCCCCAATTGCCAAACAAACTGATCAGCAGCAGCCACAGCACGAGATGCTGAACCAATAGAACCTTCATACCTGTTGAATGAGTATGTTGAGAGACAGAGGAAAAGAAGAACGTGCACCATCAGTCCATGATAAATACGTTTTTTTTTTCCAAGAATTCCTTGCATTAATTGCCTCATTGAAACCAGACTAGAACAGTCCATCCACCCCCCCACAAAAAAAAAAAAAAAAAACAATTCAAGCATGGCTGAGAAATATATACTAATTATTTTTTTTGAAAAAAAATGAAAGCAGGTTGACTTAAAGCTATGTGCTTACAGGGCAACCAAGATATATGCTGCTGTCTGCATAACAACTGCACCTTCGCCAGCAGGCTTTGATGTGTTCATGCACCTAGCACTGAACCAACTCTCATGAATTGATGTGACCAAATCTGCCATCCAAAAGTTTCCATTCTCTTATGAGAAGATACAACATGAATTAGGAGCAAACACTAAATAAGATGCACAGAAAGCATATTGACATGCATTAATATAATGCTTTTAGTTTTAACAGAAGCGCAGAATAAAAATGCATTTGCCTACCTACAGGCAATTGATGTATACAAACCAATATGTCATAAACTTCCTCTTGATTCTAAATTTTCTTTTTTAAAAAAACAGTCAAGCCCTCTGGAAAGAACAAGGCTCGAGAAAGTATACTCATTTTTTCTCCTTAAAAGAAATTTAAATAAATACTCATTTGCCAATCATGGGATGCCATAGTGATATGAAAATATCCTTCCCATAGAGGGAAGATCATAGGTTCGGTCCTGCAGAGTATGTATTTGTAGTTGTGGTTGTCCCTAATAAATAAATAAAAACTCATTTGATTTGATTTTTACCATGATTTCTCAAATTGCTACTTCAGTAGAACACAGGATTCACAGATGAATACCAATCCATTTTTGGGTCCCAAGATTACAAGATTTCAAACAGCAGGTGTATTTTTGTCCAATTTAAAAAAAGGAAGATGCATAGACTAACTTCACGTGCACAGGTGCATATAATAACGAGGACAGTTTCAAAAATTACGTGTTTCTAACTTCCCTTTGAGGATTGTCAGATAAAGCAAAGTAATAAGTGCAAATTCCTCATAATCTGTCATCAACTAACGTCTTAAACCACTCTAAAAAAGGCATTGATAATAAATTCACAAGTAGATGTAAAGGAGAATCCAAATTCGAAAGCAAGACTAATAAGAGAAAGTCAGGTTGGAATGACTGGAAGAGTGGAACTATCAGAATATGGGGGCCAGGCTTTGGTGCCGAATGAAATAGAAGATAACTCAGACCTCAGATAAAGGCTTAAAAGAGAGAAGAGACTCCACTATAAGAGAGTTATGCATCTCACACCCAGCTGATGTGAGACTCCTGCTCTTGCATCACAGCAGCAAGCAGAACAGACTTTATTCCCCTTCACCAATTTCAACTGGAAGAAAGAATCCAATATATGCCCCCAAAATCCGATATTTATTGAATCCTAGCCTTCTCTCCAAGAGTCTTGATTACCTAGATGTATTGGATGACCCCAATAATTTCAACCTCAACAATTTCTATGACATTTCCCTCCACCCCCAGAAAAGGTAGCAAATATTATTGAGCATTTTAGGTGAAGCTACAGTACAGCTTACATTGATTGGGCCCAATTATGAAGCTTTCCGTCTGGAGTTTGTTACGTTTAACGTAGTCAACAAAGTGATTCAATTCAATGGGATTGGCTTTAATTCCCTCTTGTTCAGCACTGCCAGCAGCCAATCACCCCATCAATAAATAAATTTCTAAAACTACCAAAAAAGACAAATCCAAAAATTGGAGAGAAGTTATTCAATAAAGACAGACTAAAATTCACCCAGGAAACATGAAATATCTTCAAAATCACTTTAATCAATGCTAGTACTAGAAGTCTTATATTTTAACAAGATCAGAGGAAAACCAGGACAACAACAATTGTATTTAACTTCCTAACAAACTTGATAAGTGCAGGTATACTATCTAGTATGGGAAACGTAATAGAAAGTATGAAAACCATGTTGCTTATTGATATTACAGTAAGCTAGCTTCTCTTGAAAAAACAATAACAAATCACAAAACAATAAATCAGTTTACATCAAACATAAACTATTATCTTGCTTACATGGTAGACAATAGACGTGAAGGTCCATATGGGTCATAATTTATCAGCAAAGCAGCTTTTAAAGGTTGACCTATAAGGTGCAAAGATCAAATAAATGTTATGCATTGAAAGCATATACAAAATCATTTTTTTGCGAAGAACGATCATGCACATCTTGTTCAGTTAAAGATTGCTCACCAGAAGAACCAATGCTAGTAGAAGCCCACTTATCCCATGTTTTATGCACAAATGCCCAGTCCATTGTGCCTAATAAGGAATCAAAAGCATGAAATATTTTAGTTACTTCTTTCCATTGAATGCACAAAACCCACTGAACCTTTGGTCCCATTTTATAAAGTTATGGCATTCATTGTAAACAAAGAAACAAAAAAAAAAAAAAAAAACTCAGCCCTTACGAACTAGATATTTCCAAGTATGTTTTAACTGGAAGATTTTTGTTTACACAAAAGACAGTCTATAAACTAGAGGAACCACAATGCATCATGATTCAAAACAATCAATCAATTAACATGAACCACGGAGAAAGGTATTTACTTTATAGTTTGTTACACACTGTACAGAACTATCTTATATAAAACAAGTTTTCTCCCAGTGGATTGAGAAGACATTGAAATGCCCTTGCAACCCACGCCCCTTTCCATGTAAACCTGCCGAGCGTATCTATTGAATGTTATCAATTGTATCTTATTTAAAAAACAGATTAGCTTCAAACCAAGAAAAAATTGTAAAACTGTAGTTGAGGGAACTCGAAAGTTTCAGCTGGCTGGGAGAGCACCACTACCTTTTAATTCCAATATTCTCCACCGAACACCGGCCAAACGCTAACAACAGTCACAGCAATTCTTAAGACGCTAAACTAATCACTCGCCGAGGATGCGGTTCCGCAATGCGGACACTGGCACTTAAAAGCTAAACTAATCACAAAAAGACACGACACTGATTGTACCTATAATAAGTATCACTTTACCAAAAGCGACTGCCGACTGCCCTAAAGGCGGCGAAGACGGATGCGTACGACGGTGGCCCGAGATGGACAGACCGACGGAGCTTAGTTACAGCGAAGTATGGGTAGGCTAGACTCTCGCGTCTTAGCCCGGTGAGAAGGGAGGACGAAGACGGGAGCGAGATGAAAACTGAGTGATTTTTTTTTTTTATTAGGAGACAAGGCTTCTCGGAGGAAATAAAATAATATTTTGTAAAAAAGATAATTATAGTAGAAAACATTAATCGCTCATTTTTCTGTCAAATGAGACAATTAAAAAGACATTATCATGCGAAAAAGGTAAAGCGTAATATAAAATTAATTATTACTTATTGCGTGGTGACCAGCTTTAATCGCTCCACTTTTCACGTGTCCTAATAAACATATGAAACTTCCCTTCATTTGCTGATTCTCTCTTCGTCTTCCTCCTCAACAAAAGAATTGGTCATACAGTTCTAAAAGGAAAAGGCAAACATGGCCGATGAATAAGCAACGAGTTTCAGGACTGAAGCAGAAAGCTGAATTTTTTGTGGGCGCGCGGAGGGAGGTGAATTGGCTAATTGAGTAATTTCATTTGAAGGATTCTTCAAAGCTAAGCCTGGGAAGCATCAGATTATGGCTTCGGTTTTTCTGCAAAGCAGTTGCCATCCAAAACACAACGAAGAGGAGAAAGCTATCCAGAATAATGCTTTTGTAAGACATTCTCTACATGGCAGGCAAGTTTCCTGTCTGTTTCAGACTGCTGATTGCGTTTCTACAGGCCCTTCCCTACGGCTCCGTCAATATATTCATGGGAAAACTTGTAGATTTTGTTCCGTACCAGAGATACACACCCACACATGACTGTATTTATTTGGTGATTGAGTTTGGCTCCTACATGACCAGTAAAAACAAAAAATCTTTCTCCTGCATTATCTTTGATTCAGCTTTTAAAACTTTCTTCCTCGCTGCTCATTGGTACTTGGAATTTGTCAATCTGTTCTGCTTTGATTTTACCGTTTTTTTTTTTTTGAATGAAAAGGGATAATATATAACTAACTCAAAAGGAGTACAAAACCAGGGTACAAATAAAACTAATCTTTCAGCAACCTGCTTTGATTTTACCTAAAGACGGGTAAAACTTAATTATTGGATAGCTAGTGTGAGTGTGTGTGTGTAAGACAGAGAGAGAAAGATTGAACCAACTCAGTTAACTTCTATCTCCATAAGTATCTTCCTACTTAGGCCTATTTCTTGGTGTCCATTCTCTTGCTTTTTTCCCTTCTTTCAATAAGAAAAGTCCTGTTTTTCTAATCACGTACTCACACGGTATCTAAAACATTCCTTCCCCAAGAAAAATAAGCACTCCGGCAAAAATTAACACTGCTCCCAAATATATTAGGCATCGAACTAAACAATTACTTTGAGTTAAAGCATTCTTCAATTTCTCGTGTTATGGCATCAGTACGCGCAAATAGCACTGTCCATTGTACAATTGCAAGATAAACAATTCAAAAAAAAATAATCATTTAATCCTTATAGTTTTAACTTAATTATAACTCAATTCCTAAATTTAATTGTTATAACTCAATCTCTAAAGTTTTGATTCGATTGTAAATCAATCCTTGAACTTTGCCTTTTTGTAATTTAATCCCTGAAATTTCAAACTTTTAAATATTGATCCCCATATTTTAAAAAATAAAATTTAAAATATTTAAAATATGTTAAACTTTTAATATTTATAAATATTAAAAGGGTTTAATAATTTAAGATATTAGCAATAAATTTTAAAATATTTTAATCATTATAATTTTATTTTTTAAAATACAGAGATAAATATTTAAGGTTGAAACTTCAAGGACTAAACTGCAAGAGGCAAAGTTTAGGAACTGATTTACAATTGAGTCAAAACTTCAAGAACTGAATTATAACGAGTCAAAGTTCAGCGATTGAGTTATAACTGGGTCAAAATTATAAAGACTAAATGATTAATTTTCCCAACAATTCAGCTCACCTCCTTTGATGAATTTGGAAAGCTGACCCTCCTAGCTGAAGATGTAGTATTAGAAGTTCCATTTGTTGCATTCGTTGCATTTTTCTAACATTCACAGAACATATCATCCTCTTAATGGCATTACAAGTAAAGCAGATGTTCAAGTAGTAGCAACATAGAACGAATAAATTCTATTAAGATTTAAGAATACAGTAGTGGTAACATTGAATGATGATTGGAGGACACCCAGCAAACAAGCTTAGTGCAGTGGCAGCCTCTACTTATCTTGGTGGCTTGATAAATTATAAAGTATAAATCACATTTTTTCTTATTCAAGATCAAGCTAATTAGCCAATGAGCAGAGTTCATAAGAACGATATAATATGACATGAAATGAATCTATACTGTAGGATGGTCTGGCTCGAAAACACGGTTGTGACAAGTGGGGTTGCATGGGTAGGGGCAATCAATCTGATGGAAAGGACTTCGTTCAAAGTACCAGTCTCCTACTGCTTTTGCAATTGTCTGCAGAATGTTATTTAGACAAAGTTATGCCTTCAAGTGGACATAAAGGAAAAGACAAATAATGAACCACAAGCCAGATGAAAATGACGAAGTATTTGTAGTCTCTTACTGTGTTGTGCAGCACCGGAGAGTCACTTCTGAACCACGTCTCCTGCATTTCTGTTTGGCAGTGGGCATAGCAGGAGTCTATAAACATTCCTTTGGACGAAGTGTTCCCCAGAACGGTCAATGCCTTCAAAAAGTCCAACCTGAAATCTGAAAACCAGAAAATGCATAAGAATGAGGTCTTGAAAGTAAAATTTAACTGTTTATTGTTTAAGGATTTCTGATAGTATCGTTATTTACCTTGCATGATACCAAGTTGATCGGATGAGCAGTTGTTTATATCAAGTTTGCAGCTATGCCAACGGCCATGGGGATCAGCGACACCCGGTGCCAAAATGTTTTTTATCTGAGTATGAGCAATATCTCAAAGATCAGAAAGGAAAATAGAAAGAATTCATCCCTCATAAAGGAGAACAAAATGATGACTTGAATAAAGAGATGAATGGTTAATTTCGCATCCACATTAGTGGTTTAAAGCAAAACCTAGACATGATTTTTGCAGAAAGAGAAAGTGACAGAAGCAACGCAGGAACAGAATCATTTTCGAAGTTATCTTTTCTTTTAAAAGAACTCACCAACATATAAGTAAATGTAAATATCATTTTAGCAATTTCTAGCATTGACAAAGATCACTCTAAGAACCAATCCATGCATCTTTAGCAACAGATAAGGCTGACCTGCCATGAGTCGTAGGCTGCATTTACAAAGAAAATCGGGGTAGTGATTTGTGATGCCACATATTGTGGGAAGAAGCACTGCAAGATTGACGAGAAGTGTTAGTAATACCAAGACAAACAATCCCAAGCGAGGGACACTAGTTTACAAACTTACGAGTCCTGGGCTGAGTCTTGTAGTGCAGGATCGAGGTAAATTTTTTGCTGAACCCTACAATATTAAAGAACAACAGTCGAACTTGAATATTATAGATTTCCAATTAAAGAAATGTGGAAAAAGGTCCGTCCACAGCTTGGCTGTGCAAAACACAAAATATTCAAGTTCTTCTATAAAGGGGAGATTTACGTGTGTTTCAACAACTTGACTGTAAAATTGTTCAATGTGTTGTGCTCCTGAGACATCCTTTCTGTTGTACAAGACAATATTGAATAAAATAATTTGAGGAACTCCAGAAACTCTCGAAAGAAAGCTAAACAGATAGCAAAATAAGAAGCCTACGCGTTAATGAAGTAACCAGCATCTGACAAACATTTCACTTTAGCCTCCGCAGGCACTAGAGCCCGAAAGCCATCACAATGCAATATAGAAGTCAATCCTCCAGCTGAACAGCCAGAGAGGATAGCCTGTAATTATAAGTTCCAATCAGTGAATGAAAAAATTGCTAGGATGAAATGAGGGGAGGTGGCATTATTTTAATGGATAGTACATTTTCAGCATTTTTCATTCCTTTAGCCAACAAATCCTCAATGACAGCAACGAAAACTCTTGCTCCTCTGAAGTGAAGATCTGTGTCCTGGCATATCCATGCATATCAAGTAATAAGAAACTGATCAGTCATACATATAGAAAATACGTACTCATTAAGATGTTCTGTGGAATTCGAAGCACAATATGTATGATTCGGTTTTGCAAAACTCACTGAATCCACAGCTTCCACATCACCGGTGAATGACGCACCATCACAGTACCTAACTTTGATTCTATTCCAATTGTAGAAATCTGGATTGTACAAAAGTCAATACGAAGTATAAAAAATGACACGTTCAGATTTTTATAGTTATTAACCAGGAGACTATACCTGGATTAAAGTTTTCCTTGTTGCTAAGAATTCCAGAGAAGGCAACCTGCTTGGCCATTTGCTTAGAAGAACCTAAGCGAGTGCTCTTTCGGGAAAGGCACGTGGTGACATTGTTACACCATCCTCCTCCCTAGAAATGAAATCAGACGGAAATTCATTACCAAGGAAAGAACAACTTCATGTGTAGTCCACAAAAATGAGATTCCTATTTGCAGATGAAGATCTATTTATGCCCATTTGCAGACATGGACCCACCTCAATGTGTATGAGCCAATTGTTAATCCCTGATCCAAAACCCTTGTCAAAGTGGTAAGCTGGTGGACTCCCATCCAAACAAACTGTGAATTATGTGTAACGTCAGATTCCCAACTCCATCGTAAACATAACTGAATATTGAAATGGAAATGGACAACAAAGCTTCTAGTAAAGTTCAATTAGATCAGATACAGCAACAATTTCTCACCAGCTCCTTTAGCCACTGCATTCTCAATATAAGTGATTGGTACAAAGAAGCCTTCTGTTTTCAGCAATATCAATAGAAATACTAGAAGATTCAATTTCAAAACCTGACTTATTCTTCCACTCTCCATTCTGCAAAAATCCATCAAATAAAAACTGGCAAAGGAACATGGACAAGACGAAAATCATGCACAGTAAATATTTCAAACTAGAATCCAGTAGATATTCTTGCATACTATCTTTTCAACCTAACTGTTAGAAACAAAAATTTATGGTATGTTCTTGTTACTTCAGAAGCGAATGAATCAGTCTCCATTTGTCGGGCATAAATCATTGATCTCCTAGAAACACTTCCAAAATCACCACCTTAGCGTTACAATTCACAGAGCTAAACTTAATAGGCTTGAATTGCCTTCACAACGCATAAACCGAAGCTCCATTGATCTCCTACAAACGAAGAGTTGAGCAGAACTAGAGAAGGAAGAAAATTATTTACCGAAAGAAAACGAAAAAAAGGAGGATTGCAAAGCTCGCAACCAGCAGATCCTGAATGGAAAGTGCTGAATGGGATGCCCAACCAGCAAGAAATAAGGGAACTAAGGGAAAGCAACGCAGCTCAGGACAAGGCTTTAGAGAATGCTCGAATGAGAAAGAGGAATGTGACGAGCTTTTTAAAGTAAATTGAAGGACCGAGTCGGAGTGTCCAGTAGTGATGAGTTCCGTCTGAGGAAGAAAGACGGAACGAAAAACGAATCGTATTTTTTAGGCCGAATGCAGAGAACCCAAGAACCGACACTGGTCCGAACAAATAAACCCTTGGCATAAAATACTTGAATGAATTATAAATTAATCATAGAATTGATTTTTAAAATGGGACAATAATTACAGTGATAAAAAATTCTCATTTAACAAGAGAATTGTTTTCCTTTTATTTTAAATTATAAAATATTTTTAAATAAAATCTTACATATTAATAAAACTCATTAAATATACTTTATAACTTTATTTTTTTGAGAGAAAAATATAAATTTTTAAAAATATTTTTTATTTAATACATTGATGAAATCATATTAAAAAAAGAGAATATATGAAAAAGATAATGTTAAAAAATATTATTAATAAATATTTTTTATATTTTAAAATTTTAAATTTTTTTTAAAAATATCTTATAATTTAAGATAAAAAAAGTAGTAGTTTAAAAAGGAGTCTGCGTTTGAATTCTGAAAATACAGCAACATGGCAACGATGGCAAAACTTCTATGGAAAAGAATTTGACCAAATTTGATCAAATTAGTCTAATTCTATTAAAATTTTCTTCATTGGACATGAAACAGGTCAAGGTAATAGTGGTTAAAAAAAATAAATTCTCATATAAGCTATTTGATGTTAACAAGGGTCTTCGTGTACCGGTTATAACGGAGACAGTGTGCGATCATAATTGTGATTTTGTATTGTTAAATAGAACATCTGAATTTATAATAATATAGTAAATTGAATTCAATGAGCCGAGCTTCCCACGGTCGCAGCAACAGGAAAGAGGAAAGGGGACTTGATGGAATCTTTAGGCGCGTTCTCACCACCAATGAGTGGCGCGATCCTTACGAAGGAAAGTAGAAATGAGTGTGCAAGTCTGTTGGAAAACCAAGTCGTGTAATAAATTCGTTTTTAAAAATAACTTATTTGAAAGAGAGTCAGAAATCAAATATTGAAGTCAATCCCACTCAGAAGAATAAAGCATAGTTAATTCATTCAGTAAGATAGTACAAGACCTTTTTATTTCGGCCAATAGAATAGGCCCGTTGTTGTTGACAACGTTAAAAATTCGTATAATTGTAGCAGCAGCAACAATAATAATATAATATTGGAGGAAATAGAAATCGGATGGCTAGGGCCTCATGAAACTAACTCAATTAATAAGAGAAGGGTGGAATATGGGAAAAAGGTTAAAAAGTCGAACCCTCCTGACACGTTTGTGTGTGTGGGGGGATGATTGTTGATTGGATAAGAATTTAGTCTAAGCACTTCCCTCATTGAAAATTGCTCTCTCCAAAATGTAATATAAAATCACTTTTTAAAAGTAACTTTAGCGTAAAATCTAGGTATTATTTGAATTTTATTTTTTTTACCATTTATATTCATTATCTTTAAATTCTTTATATTTAAAAATCATGTACATGTTATTACAAAAACTCAAGAACATAAATAAAAATATATGGACATATTTAGAAAAATAAAGTTCAATTAATTTTTTTTGGTCAAACATGAATTAGCTACTAATAACATACTCCCTCCGTTTTAAAAATATAAGGCATTTTTTAAGGAGTTGAATGTTCAAAAATGTAAAATATTTTTAATTTTTTAAAGTGTAATTATTATCATTTTTTCACAAATGTCCCTCTTGATATTAATTTTATATTTATTATAGGGTATTTAATACGAATAAATATAAAAAATAGGGTTAGTTTGAAAGTAGACTACTTTATTAGAAGGTGAGATTCGATTAAAAATGACTTACATTTTTAAATGAAGAGAATATATATTATGATGCAAAAAAAGTATCACACTAATTAGTGGCCAATCACATTAAGTTTGGGGCAAATGCAACACTTCTCTTTAAAGAATATTAAAATTTTGGTGTATAAGTTTTAATATTTTACATTTATACAGTTGAAATTTTGAACTTTTATCCTTAAATTTTAATATTTTTATCCGTGTTTGAGTTTTAACTTTCAAGATGTTACTTCCCTCGCTCACGGGTCGAGTCTTGACCCAGACTCCGCCACCTGCGCAATTTTTGAGGCGTGAACATGAGATGGCAGAATAGGGAGTTTGTGGGAGAAGATTTTGAGGAGCGGACTATAAGGACAAACGTGGGATTTACGCAAAGCTTTTTCTTTGCGTGTGTGTTTTGTTTTTGGGCCAAAGATTCTAGCAAAGATTGTTACTAGAGTCAAAAAAAAAAATTAAACCTGCATGCTAACTTATTTAATTTACAAAATTTGATAAATTACGTTAAATAAATTAGCTCATTTTTTAAATAGGTTGAGCTAACCTAACTTACAAATTAACTGGTTAAACGTGTTGGCGCTTGGGCCTAACATATTTTTTTTTAAAATAATTTTTTATGTTAATTATATTACATTTTTTTATAAATCTATAATAATGATAATATTTTTTAAATATATAATTTATAACTCTCAAATATATTCTTTACATTTAAAATATAGTGTAAATTATTTTTATAATTTACAAATAAAATTTTCATTATAGTTTGTAAATCAATAATTTATTAGTTTTATAAAAATATTTTGAATATATATTATTTATTAATTTTATAAGATCTATTGATTGAAATCATAAATATGAATTTATTAAGAAAATAATATGGGTTTATATTCAAATTTTTATTCTCAATAAAAAGAAACCACAGCTAAGCGAGAAATAATTAATAATCAAAATTTAGTAAAATAAAATTGTTTGGTTGAAGTTTATGTTTCATTTTATTTATTTATAAATTCTTTAATTTTTAATTTTCTTTAAAATATGAAATAAATATATTTATTTATATTATATAAAATTTAAATGGGTAAAAAAATTCCGTAAATTTATAAATCTAAAACTGACACTTTTTTACCTAATTAGTTTATCATAATTAAGCAAAGATTGTAAATTGCTCATAATATTTAAAAAACTATATAATTTTTTTAAAGTATCCTTTCTAATGTATTATTTTTACAAATATTTTTTCCTCATGCAATTGTTTACCTAACTTATTTGAAATTGTAAATGAATAAAATTAGAAAAAACAAGTAACAGCCAATTTTTTATCCAAGTAAACTGATAAAATGATTATTAACAGTATGTTTTCAGTATAGGCAAACGTTCACATTTGCTTCGTTAACTTTACATAAAATTTTAGTTTAATTTTTTAATTTTCTAAAATATTTTTTAGTTCTCTAACTCTAATCTTGTTAATCTAACCTAATTTTTTTTTAATAACATTTAAAATGCTCTGTCAACTTTTAAATTTAATATTATTTTTATTAATAAAATTAATGATATAAATTTTACCCTTTACAATGTGACTTATAGAGTTAGCAATTTGAAGCTACTAAAAAAATGTAACGCTACACTAAGTAAATTACTATTTTTAATGTTTAGCGCCATTAGGTGGATATATTTTTAAGTTATATATCCTTCTATTAAAAAATATAATGTATTTTTTTACCAAATTTTACCCTCTAATCATTAGTTAATTGTCTTCACGTTAACATTATCTTTTCATATTTATTCATAATTAATAAGATATTTATTTTAAAAATCCATATGTTATAATTTATTTAAAAAACACATTAATTATATTTTAAAATACTAAAAAATATTTTATATTTTTTTACGTTTCAACCTACTGTAGGATGGTGGTGCGAGTAATTGATTTATATTGTTAGTTTAGAGTGTGTATTGAAATCTATGATCAAACTAGTCGACAATTGTGTTTAGTGAAAATGGTTATCCTCCCCCTATGACAACCAAAATTTAAATCTTCATTAAAAAAATACTTATATTTAGTATCTCATACTTGACTATACCTTAGATATGATTGTCTCTAATAAAACAAATATATCCGAGTGAGAATAATGTAAGTGAAGGGTATGGAGTAGAGATGATAATGAGTCAATGAATGAGGCTAATCTGATCCCCCGACCGCGCCTGCTCCTTTTGTCACATCTACGACTATGCCACAGCCCTTATGTGCTGTGTTTTAGGCCATATTTGGTATGTAAGAATCGTGCAAAAGGAATTAGAAATGGAAACGGAATCCTGAAGGAGCAAGTTTGGTACATTTGAATTGTGATTCTTATGAATTCAAATTCAGGAAAATTTTCTTGAATTAGATTCTATCACATCAAGGATGGAATCAGTCTAATTCCTGAGAACTAGTTTCTTTAGACCACCATGCCTTCCATTATATCTTTTCCTTTTTCCTCCTTGTTTCGTTCTTATTGATCATTAATTCGATGATGAAGTTTTGAAACGCCCAACTCCAAGGATGGCGTTGAAGGCAACTTAGAAGGACACCCCCCACTAGAATGGAGGTGATTGCCAAGATGATGATGATGACATTGTGATGCGCCTTCTTCCTCCCAACCTCCACCACTAGCTCCACCTACTGTGGAGAGATGATTATCAAGATTGACGACAGCATCTTCAACTTTGTTGGATTGCAACTTTGCACATGGACCACAACTTTGGAGAGATGATCTATGTTGATCATCAAGATCGATGATGCTGCTCCTTCATCATCAAATAGATGCACGCTTAGTAGGATTTACAACTTTTGATCTACTGCAAGAAAGGAAGTAGATATTGAGTGATTTAATCATGGAGAAACTTTAAAGCTGGATCAATTTGAGTTTAGTAGGATGAATAATAGTCCAGATAAGTTTGTAGGGATGGAGGAGGGCTTTCCTTTTTTTTGTACAGGGCATTTTTGTTTTTTTTCATATTTTATATACATATATTTATTAAAACATTTTTTTTTTTTCATATTTTATATACATATATTTATTAAAATTATATCAAGATTCCATCTCCATACCAACACACTTTTAAAGTTCAATTATATTCTATTTTTGATTTCAATTCCATCAAAAACTATTATATCATATCAAACAAGGCCTAAATTTTAATGCAATTCAATGAAATGAGGTCTCCACCTCCAGTGGCACCGCTCAATTACAATTTTCACAGCCAAAATAAT